GGAATAGATCAGGGAGGGTAAAGGGGACATGAATGCAAACCAGCCCCTTGGGATCATCCTGTTTCTGGAGGGGGAGAAGAGGTTGCAGCTGAGAAAGCAGTGTCTGAGTACAAGAGAGGGAGGAAAAGCTGGCTCAAAGATGGCGGGGGTGGGACAGTGAGACTGAATACTATGTCCAGGAGAAGAAAATGGCTACAGCGGAGTAGCAGAGGAGGAGGAAGAAGAGGAAGGGAGGAGGAGGAGTAAGAGGAGAAGGAGGAGGAGGAGGAGGAGGAGGAGGAGGAATGGAAGGTAAAGGAGGTCGAGGGGTGAGATGGAAATGAAGCAAGAGGATCTGGATGGGCAAACTGTGGAGGCTGGGCTTGAGGGTATGGCAGAAGAAGAGCAAAAGCAGGAGGAAGATTGTCAAGAGTGTCTGCAGAGGCATCCAATAGGGGACAGGAAGGGCCTTCTAGGGGTGTGCAGTGAGCCAAAAGAGTCAACTCCCCATGCCTGAAGGAGGGAAGGGTATGCCCTGAGAGCAATAAAGGTTTCTACATAGGGGATCTCTGCCTATTTCCATTACAATTGCAGAAGTTCTCCAGGTCTTAGAGGGTACTGAAATGGAAGGTACCCTCCTTGAGCCAGTGGTTGCCATTATCACGTTTATATTGGGACCAAGACATATGGCAGTAAAAGATAAATTGTTTTCACTTCATGGTTTCCCAGAGACCAACGGTGTTTAAGTTTCATAAGAGACAACTGAGCAGTGTGTACTTTGGGGGTTAGGAAGAAATAGGAGGGTTTTTTTTGGCCACTCATATTCCTTCAGGGCAGGTCTGGTTTGGATTCAGGATGAGGGGATCCAACGACAGCATCCTGAGCCTGACTGCTTTGTTTCAGCAGGCACTTAAACACCTGAGTGAATGGGCAGGCCCACAAATGGCAGAAGGAGGTTATTTATTTATTTATTTATTTATTTATTTATTTATTTATATTTTGGTTGGGAAGAAATAGTAACCATATTAAAGGTGAGCCAAAAAAACAAACAAACAAACAAAAAAAAAAAAAACGTGAGCCAAGGAGAAAGCTAGTTCATACCATTATAGTGGGGTATGACAGAGAAGTGTCTGTCACTGCCATGGATCATCTCCCAGAGGACAAAGGGACATCCCGAGGAAGGCCTGAGGATGCCCTGGGGTGAGGGGGCACCCTGATGTGGGCCAGGAGTTTTGAGAGATAGAGAAAGAGAGAATGGGAAAGTGAGGCAGGAACTCCAGAATGAGAGGCGGCTCCCCTGTGAGAGCTGAGCTGGGTTGGTGTTGGATGGAGGCTGGCGGGGGCAGAGGCGGAGGTGGGGGTAAGAGGAAGGGTAGCTGGTTGCTGGGGGCAGCTCACACTGGGAGAGGCTATGAGGAACTATAGTCTCAGTGACGGGGGTCGTGTTACCAGATTGTAAGGTCCTTCCTGTGGCCTGAATGAGAAGCAGGAGAAAGGCAAAGTGACCCTTATTACTGGGTGAGGGAGGGCTGCACAAGAGATTGCAAGGGCCCTGGGCAGAGGAGGCAGGGAGACAAAGGGTTTATTGGGCTGGATTGGGGTTAGAGTTTGTATGGTCAGGTATGGCATTGTAACAGATGCTGGTTGGGAAGGCTTGGTTCATGTGTGAAGCACAGAAGAGAAGGTCTGAAGTTAACCAGGGGAAGAATATGAAAGTCAGGGGCGGCCTTGGTCCTGGATCTCCAGGCATGCTGAATCACCAGCGTGGTGACCGGAGCAACTGTCATATGAGTGCAGAGGCGTCACTCACATTCTTGTTAACTTTAGTCTTTATGGCTCCTGGTGTGTCATGTATATTATGACATTCAGCATGGGAATATTACCTGTGTACTGTATCTTAATTCTTTTCTCCCCCTTTTCCCTGTCTACCCTTCTTTATGCTTAGGTTTAAGAAGGTACATAATATTGTCATTTCCATGCGCGGACAATCTACTTGCACTACATTTGTTTATAAGTTTCTTCTTTTGCTATAGGGGGAATTTTTTCTGCCACATCATCATTGTAGTCTAGTGAACCCTGAATATGGCTGTATTCCAAGGATTCCTCTGTGTGTTTTTCAGGCATCTCTGTAATGATATTAATTAGTGCTTTTAGATTTCAATGGAAAGATGTTTCTGTTGCAGTTCTTGGTAGAGAAGCATAGTGGTGATGCGCTCCAGAAATTGTTCTTGTCTGGGAGGGTTGTTAATTGTCGCTCAGTTATTCTGTTCTGAATACAATATCACTGGGTGCCAGCTCTCTCTTTCAGCAGTTTGCATGTATTTTCTCCCTACCTCTCTGCTTGCAGAATTTCAGCTGAAATATCTGCTGAAAAATGTAGTGACACTCATGAGTGTATTTCTCATTAGTTTTTGCCTTCAGAAGATCTCCCCCAATCTCTCCTTCCCTTCATGTCCTGTCCCTTTCCTTCTCTCTTCTCCCATGATCCTTTGCTCTTCGGAACCCTTGGGTTTTTCTTTGGTAGTTTTCCAAAAAAGAAAACTTGCTGTTGAGGCCTTCACTGATTCCCTGGCAGGCAGAGGCCTGAAGCTCGTATTTATTCTCTCTCCTGCATTCTGGGCACCTCTAATGTAGACCCACCAGTGCCAGGGAAGAAGCTTGCAAGAGTAGAGAAGAGGCAGATGGGTTCACGATCACATAGGATGCTTTCTTTACATGGAGTCAAAGGCCAAGTGGCAGTGCAGGGCCGCAGCAGTAGGCTGGATCATGGCAAATTTGCTGAGTGAGCAGGCTAGTGTGTGGCCAGCTGAATATGGGCTTCATTCTTGGCCAAAGGTGCAGCTTTGTACAGAGTTATGATGGAAGCTGAAAGGCACCATCCTGGCCCAAGAAGCACAGGGCCCGGCACGTAGCACTGGATCCTCTCCTGCTGGATGTGGTTTACTGTGCTTTGCTGGGAATCTATGCAGAGAATGCAGGTCAAGGTTATTCTGGCATCAAAGCAGTTACAGCTCAAGATGGCTGCAGTGAGATCCAGCTGGATCCCTGCACTTCATTCTGCGAGGGCAAACTCGTCAGCATGGAGGAAGGCAAGGCCTCATCTCAGCTCTTCTGCTGACTGGGCCTGGAAGCTTCCTGGGATCCAGGCTTAGAGAAAGAAATCAGTGCGCCCACCAGTCCGCTGGAGCATCTGGCTGAGTATGGCTGTGGTTCCTTGTGCCGTGGAATGAAGCTGAGAAACCTGGCCTGGCACTGCTGGTCCTTGGAGGTGGCCCTTGGTGAAGGTGTAGCCCGTGATCTACAATTCAGCAGGCTTTTCCTGGGGAAGTATGAGCCATGCTTCCACTGCTGAAGACTGCATAGCTCTGGAATCCTTCCCTTTCAAGGTGGGATCTTGGAAACCTTGGGCAGAATCAGTGGGACTTTTGCAACCCATGTCTGTTAGCAGCAGCCCCATGTTTTTGAATGCCCCAAGGTTGGCCTTTGCTTTTCTGATTGTAGTGAGTGTCCCTGCAGTCCTGTTGAGTGAGTCTGGTTCTAGACCACCTGTGTGAGCCGTCCTAATTCCTTGGCTTCTCTGCAATTTGAGAAGTGGGAGTGCTCTGCAATGCTCTCGATCAGTGTGGGCTATGATCCTACATGGGGCAAATAACAGCAAAGGAACAAGCTAGACAAGGCTCTCCTCTGTGCCTCCTCCTGCAACCGACTCAGATACAACTCTGGTTTGTGAGTTTGGCAGGAAGCTCGCTCTGGGCAGAGCCCCACAGACAGCATCAGTGAGCCAGCCCCACCATCTGCATGCAGGCATTGTACCCCTGCCTCCTTCACATGTTTCTGCCTGCCCCTGTCATCTACTGAAGCAATTCTCCCCTCTGCTCCCTGAGTGTGATCCAGGAGTGGGCATCCAGGACGCGTGTGGGCAATGCTAGGACAACTGTAGGAAGGCCCAGTTCTCTTCTCTAGACTGTGGGGCCAATCCCATGTCTTAGTTTTGTCTCTTTGCTGAGGCAAAACACCTGATGTCAAACTTAAGGAGGCAAAGGCTTATTTAGCTCCCTTTATGTGGCTCTCAGTCTGTAATCAGTAGCTCCAAGTCATAGTGGCATGGCACAAGGTGAAGAGTTGTAGTCGACACCAGAGAGCAAAATCAGAAAGAGCAAAAGGAGTGGTGTAGCTAGGAAAAGCCTCTTTTTCTCCCTTATATTGTAGGCAGGCTATCCCCTCCTCAGGGCAGTATAGCACTCAGACTATTTAGTGATAAGGATGTTTACAGAGTGAGAACCCTGGTCCCCTGTTGAGTTAAACTCCTAAACTTCTCAAGTTGACACAATGTGTCAACTATTCTAGGCCCCCTGTGTGGAGTGATGCAAAATCAATGAGAAAAATTGGCTTTGTACCTTTGGAAGAGGGCCTTCATCAAGGTCTAAAAGCACGTGGATAAGTGAGGCTTGTGAGGTATTGATCATATGTCAGTGGGCTCCAAGAATTTGGAAATGACTCAGCAAACCTGAGGAGACCAAGAGTCGTCTTCCCAGCAGGGGCGATCCAGAGCAGGGAGCTGAGGAAGCACAGTTGATGCCGGTGAAGAGTCAGGGTGAGAGCCTTGCAGTGGTTCCTCAGGAGCTGGGTTGAAAATTTCATTCTGAGAAGGAAGTCCTGGCTCCTGTGAACAGAACATCTAATCTGTGCTGTTTCACAATCTCTGGGAATAGAAATATTTCTCAAATACACTTTGCCTTCCATCTTTCTGATATCGTAAAGTACACATCCATTGAAGAACAAGTCTGGCCCTTTTCCATATAGGCCAGGACATGATAGTTTATTGAACAATGACTGTAGACCGTCCTTGATGGAAAATGTACTAAGCAGGAGTGCCAGCCAGTGTACTTCATTAATCATCATTGTTCTGAGTAACTCATTCTCAGTCCCGTCATTTTGCATGTGAAAGCGTGTGAAGCTCCACCCATTCCTTGGCAGGTGCTCTGCCTGTACTTGTTCCACCCATTATATTCCAGGAGCAGGGTATAGCAGCTGGGAGGCTCTGGGCTACGGTCCCCATGGCTCCTGCATGCTCGTCCGCTCCCCTCCCTCTGTGCCTGTGTCTGCTGCTGGCATCCGGCTTTGCCCAGGCAGGCAGGCTGCTGGTGGTGCCCATGGATGGGAGCCACTGGTTCACTATGCGCTTGGTTTTGGAGAAGCTCATCCAGAGAGGACACGAGGTGGTCGTCGTCATGCCAGAGGCTAGCTGGCATCTGGGACAGTCACTGAATTACACAGTGAAGAGTTATCCAGCTTCTTTCTCTCTGGAGGAGTTGAATCGTTTGTTTCAGTCCTTTGCTGACACTCAGTGGAAAACTCCACCGCAAAGTATGTACTCTTTTTCAACAGGTTCATCCAAACTTTTGTTTGACGTCATCTTTACACGCTGTAGAAACTTATTTAATATAAAGGGAATAGTTGAGTATTTGAAAACAACTTTGTTTGACGCAGTGTTAATGGATCCTTTTGATTTATGTGGTTTAATCACTGCCAAATATTTATCACTGCCATCGGTGGCCTTCACCAAGGTAGTACTTTGCCATCTTCTTGAAGAAGGTACGCAGTGCCCCTTTCCTCTATCTTATGTTCCCAGATTATTCTCAGGGCTCTCAGATACCATGACCTTCCAGGAGAGAGTGCAGAATCTTTTTACCCACCTCGAGGAACGTTTATTTTGCAGTTATTTCTATAAAAGTGCCTTAGAAATTGCTGCTGAAATTCTCCAAACAACAGTGAGCATGTATGATCTCTACAGCCAACCATCAATCTGGTTGTTGCGCACGGACTTTGTTTTGGACTTTCCCCGGCCCGTGATGCCCAACGTGGTCTTTGTTGGTGGAATCAACTGCCATGAAGGGAAGCCCCTGTTGGAGGTATGTCCTCTCTCCCTTGGCACATTCAGGGCATCGGACATTGCACAGTAATGAAAAGATTCCTCTCTACCATGATATGTCCCTTCCGTTGGTTGCACTTGTCTTCCTGATGCAATGGATTCTTTCATTTCATTTTATCTACATGTATGTTCATAAATTTCATGCAGCAACTTTGCTTATGTAAACGTGTAGAAAATTGGTATATGAACTGAAGATTGAATTTTTAATACTGTCTTTCTCAAAAATGCTAGGAAGGGCAGCGAGATACCTCAGGGGACTAAGTGCTTGCTTAGGGAATCAGAGGAACTGGGGTTTGATCCCTGGCACCACATGCTGCACCAGCTGCTCGGGCCACTGAGTCCTGGTGTAGTGGGACTTTCCAGAAACCCTGTCATCCCAGTGCTGGATCACTATTGTTCTGAGCCATGTAGTGTGCCCCTATACCAAATACATTTAAAAAATGCTAGTAAAAACTACATTTTATGCCAATTGTATGATTCCACTGGAGGGAAAGAGTTCCAGAATACGTTTGTGCATGCCTTCTAATTTTTATATTTTAATTTTATTTGTTTTATATTTTTAGGAAGGGTCTGTAGGGTGTTCAGGGTCTCACTACTAGATTGGGCTTGTAGTGATTGCCTGTTTACAGCCTACTAGGACCTGGGATTACAGGCACATGCCACCATGCCCAGTCTCAATTGCCATGTCAGTGCACCCTGGGGCGGGGCCGGTGTGGTGGTGCCTTCTAATGTTGAAATTAGAACACAGATAGGTGTCTGTCTCATGCAAAATTTCCCATCATTGTGATTAAATAGAAATGTGAAAATATAGTAGAAACTATTTTGTTCCTTGAATTTTTCACTTTCTCATATTAATAGACACAAATGCCAAAATCTATACATTTCACATGTTCTTTCAATACTTTTTAAAAATTTCTCTAGTTACAACTTATTAAAAATCATCTGATAATGAGGAGTATTTAAACTATTTCTACGTTTACCTTTCATGAGCAGAACTTATAGTAAAGGCCTTTAGCTCTTTTTTTTTTGTGTGTGTATTTGTCACAGGGTCTCCAGGGTCATCAGGGTCTCACTATGTAGATTGGACTCGTAGTGATTCTCCTGTGTTCAAGCTCCCAAGTGCTGGGATTACAGGCGTGCACCACCCTGCCGAGTCTCAATCCATGTCTCAGTGTACCCCAGGGGCAGGGCCATCACCGTATTCCAGGGATTGAAACCTGGCCTGTGTGCTCAACTGAAGCAGGTGCCTTAGTCCCCTGGGCTATCTGGCCGGCCCCTTAGCTGTTTTCTTTGTATTCAAATATTTCAATGTTTTCTTTATTTTGTCAATAGTGTGAAGTGCCAGGCACAGAGTTGCTGGGTTTATTAATGTGCTCATAGTATTCTTTTTCGAAAATAGTTTTATGTTCAAGATCATTGAGAAGCAATAAAATGAATACAAAACTTCTAAAGAAGACAGAGGGAAATAAACAAGGGTTAGTATATTTCACACTTTCAGCTTTAAATTATTTGATCAGATTATCTGATATAGCCCTGTAAAATTAATCAAACAATATAGACATTTGCTGTCCTTCTAATGGACTAATATTAATTAGTAATACAATTATCATAGCTATCTTGTGTATATATATATTCCATGCATATACCTTGCGTATTTATATACATTAATATAATATATATTATTATTATATTCTTTCCTTGTCCAAGTTATTCTTTACTTTTAAGCAGTCCTTTTCCTTTCACAACATCGATTCTGCCTTTTGAATCTTATTTACTATTTCATTTTCCTACACCATGGAGAAAGTACAATGTTTGCAAATGTGAGTGTGATTCATTTACTGTATTTCATATTTAGTTTTATGGTATCCAGAGTATTATTGTGTGTATTTGCATCCATGGATTTGTAAAAGCCTCAAATTTATCTTTCTTTATAGCCAAGTAATACTCCAATGTATAAAAACTCCACTTTTACTTTTTTTTGGTTTCTCGGGCATTTGAGTTGTCACCAAGCTTTACCTATAAGAAACTGTGCTGCTGTAAGCATGGGTGCCCATGCATTGTTGTGGTGTGATAGTTTTAATTCTTCTAGAAAGATACCAAGAAGAAGACTAGCTGGGTCAAATGGGACCTCTAATCCTAGTTTTCTGAGGAATCTCAACACATAGCTCCACAGTGGCTGTACCAGCGCACACTCCCACCCAGAGTGGAGAAGGGCTCCTTTTTCCTCATGCCCTCCCAGCATGTGGTATTGGCTGCTTTTTTGATGGTAACCATGTTTCTGGGGTGAAATGGAATTTTAGTTTTGTTTTAATTTGCATTT